CGGTCCTCGGCCTTAGTTGCGTCGCTCGAAGTGCCAGACGTCCACGCTCTCTTTGCACGAACGTCACAGGCGCTTGTGTCCGCGCATCGCTTCCGTTTCAATGGACGGGAGACGTATTCTAGAGCCGGGTCCAATGCATCGGGCTCGACGTCCCCGACACTTTTGCAGTCGCTGTTGGGTATATGGGCAAGACCGAAGAACGCGTCGTCATCGGCCCTAGTCGCGTCGCTCCAAATATCAGACGGCAGCGGCCTCTCTGCGCGGACTTTATCAGTCCTTGTGTCCGCCAACCGCCCGCGTTTAAGGAGACGGGAAATGGCTTCTGGTAGCGAGTAGTCCGCGTCTGGTTCGACAATACCAATGTCCGTGCCGTCGCCAGTGGGTATATGCTGACAATGGTCATCAAAAGAGATAGATGGTGCACGACTGAGTCCAAAGACGGGTGTAGCGGGTGGAGAGCTTTCGCGTGAAGAGCAGCTGCCAGTGTCGTCCGAAAGCGCGGGAGTACTCATTTCGCGCGGGGGGTGCTCAGCAGCGAGCATATGAGAAGTGTCAGGAATAAGGATGTGAAGGCCATTCATTTTTGCGTCGACTGTATCGCGAGTTCAGCGAGGTAGTAATGATGGTATAGCACCAACAGCGTGCGCCACCAGTGCCTTTAGCGGCTGCTTAGTCAGCGCTTCTCTCGGAGATCCCCGGCACCAATTATGTTCTGACTGGACGGTGTAGTCGATTTGGTGTACAGCGCATTTGGGCTTACTCGGGTGTGCACGCCATCTGTAGATCCTTGTGAGCCTTGTGATACGCAAAACCCAGCACTATGATTGCGCTCATGTTGAAGTCCCCTGTATGAGACCGCGTAGTCGGATTTCAGGTCAGGTCGGTTCGTTTTAACTTTGCACTCTGATTTGTATTTCAAAGGTGCTCACATGCGACCCCTGCATAGATGTAGATCCTCTCAGACAATTGCGTTGTTTTATCTTCGGATATAGAGGATTCCTGAATACTTTGAGCAGAAATCTTCGTGGACGGTGCGTCGATATGTCAGTTGTTGACAGTGCAAGGACTTGGGCTCGCATGCTCGTCATCACCATCCTTCTGGACCTGTTCAGTAAGGCTTTCAATTTGTACGTGATGTAGGTAGAATTGTTGTTTCAGCTCTGTGATCTGATTTGTAATTCAGGGATGCTCACACACTACTCCTTCGTATGTGTATCTGACGCAGAACGACCTCATTACGGGCACAGTTACCTTTACTGGGAGTGAGGCAAGGTGCTGCAGTTCTTGTTTCACAGGGTCATATATTCCTTAATGCCCTTCGCAGAACTTCCAGTGGGTAGTATGTCCACACGTCAAACATTGCCAGTGTGAGGATATTCATATGTGACCTCCTGTGATCGTCATCGAAATCCATCTGGATCTGCGCCACGCCGCCTGCAATATTTGCATGGTGTGGGTACAAGCCTTCTACATGCTTGTGCGTGTGTCACAGATGATCGTAGCCCCCGGCAGACACGGGTGGCATGCTGTGTCAATTCCAACCTCTTGCTGGAATGTCTCAATGAGCCAATAATTGTAGCCTTGTCGTCAATGCCATGCTCTATTCTTCTCTAAGCAGTTCCATTCTAGTTCATGAGTCTGCAGCGAGAATACGGTGTTTGAGGCGGACAGATACAGATGTTTTACCTGGGTATGCTGCGCCACAGCGAGGTCGTTGAAGATAACCTAGGTGAGTTCCATCGAATATCCTGCCGACTGACCACGTAGGGTGTCTCATGATGAGCGAAACATAGTTTTCAGACCTCGGACGGTGCATCTGATATCGCAGGCTTCAGTACTGACCTCGTGCAGACCGTGCAGATTAGGTAATATGTCGGAGCTCTCCAGTAACTGACCTGCGTCGACGATGGCCGTAACATCCAAATTGGGGTATAATGGCTTGTCTGGCTTGTCGTCACGCGCGTTACAAGATAATATAAACTCAATAAAAGCCTCCGCAGTTTCGAGCCACACACTCTCGCCGTCTCTTCCTTCACGTTCACCTTCCACCTCCACTTCACCCCCGAAAATTCCCTGGCCATGGTCGGCATCCTCAAGCCGAGACGATCTCTTAGGCTCAAAGATGTGAAGAAAGGTATGGATCCTCGTCGTTATCGTTGACCGATTTGCCCTGACTGTGGCCCGGCCACAGTTCATTACGACGAGTCCAGTGACGCCGGCTCTGTGCCCGATCTAGAGCTCAAGCCTAAGCATGTCAAACGGAAAATAAAATCATCAGACGACGAAGACGGCTATGAGCCGGACCGTGAGGCCACGCCGGTGGATGGGAGTACCCCAAATCGGAGAGTGAAAACGC